TGCTTATTTAACTTATATGCAGAGTATATCATGAGAAACACTGGGCTAGAGGAAGCACAAGCTGGAATCAAGATTGCCGGGAGAAGTATCAATAACCTCAGATATGCAGATGACACCACCCTTATGGCAGAAAGTGAAGAAGAACTAAAAAGCCTCTTGATGAAAGTGAAACAGGAGAGTGAAAAAGTTGGCTTAAAGCTCAACATTCAGAAAACTAAGATCATGGCATCTGCTCCCATCACTTCATGGGAAATAGATGGGGAAACAGTAGAAACAGTGTCAGACTTTATTTTTTTGAGCTTCAGAATCACTGCAGATGGTGATTGCAGTCATGAAATTAGAAGACACTTACTCCTTGGAAGGAAAGTTATGACCAACCTAGACAGCATATTAAAAAGCAGAGACATTACTTTGCCAACAAAGGTCCATCTAGTCAAGGCTATGGTTTTTCCAGTGGTCATGTGTGGATGTGAGAGTTGGACGGTGAAGAAAGCTGAGAGCCAAAAATTTGATGCTTTAGAACTATGGTGTTGGAGAAGACTCTTGAGAGTCCCTTGGACTGCAAGGAGATCCAACCAGTCCATCCTGAAGGAGTTCAGTCCTGGTGTTCATTGGAAGGACTAATGCTGAAGCTGAAACTCCAATACTTTGGCCACCTCATGCGAAGAGTTGACTCATTGGAAAAGACCCTGATGTTGGGAGGGATTGGGGACAGGAGGAGAAGGTGTCGACAGAGGATGAGATGGCTGGATGGCATCACTGATTGGATGGACATGAGTTTGAGTAAACTCCGGGAGTTGGTGATGGACAGGGATGCCTGGCGTGCTGTGATTCATGGGGTTGCAAAGAGTCGTACACGACTGAGCGACTGAACTGAACTGAATAATCATGGAGATCCTGGGCAAGGAGTAATGAACTAAAAGAATGGAATACTTTCAATAGTGTCATATTGATTGATTACTGTTGTATAAACAAGATAAAGCTATAGTTTCATTCAATACATATTATACTGAGACTACCTAATTTATTTGCTCAAGCACCACGAAGTCCATACAAACCAATCCGTACTCTGAAGTTTCTAATCTAGTTAAGAAACACATTACAATGAGAAATAATTAAAGAAAATAAAAATAAAAAAGCATGTAAACTGAATGCAGAGAATAAATATAAAAAATCACTAGAAAGAGATTTTGGGTTGATGAATAGTTAGAGGGTCTGGAACACAAGGAAGATGTTGAACATGAAAATTTTGGATAAGCTAAGGCTGTAGAGAGGCCCCAGGTAATAAAATTAAAGTGAAATGAGTGTTGGTAAGAGTTGAATAAACAAAGAGGTTTCCAATTTGCATAAAAAATAGTAATGAAGAAAATCAGAAAATCATCACATTATTAAAAGTGAAATCAAACAGTGGGTGATCTTAAAATGTGCTTGAAGGGACAGACAATAAGCAGCAAACTGTGGGAGGTAATGGTGAGTATGTCAAAGGGAAATTAAAAAGTGGCATGAACAAGAGGAACTGATGGACAGTAACATCAGATGGGAAGGTCAGGTACCTGGAAAATGACATTAATTTAGAGGTGAAGGCAGTCTAGACTATGTAGGCACAGAGGGAGAAGCTAAAAGGCCTGCAGTTCTTAACAGAGAAAAACAGGATCTGGGGGCTCAGTCAAGGTGTGTGCTCTCCTATTAGCCTTCCATGGCAGGTGCAGACCTCTGTGTGAAGCACCCTCACCTACCCGTTCACTTTGAAGACAGAATGTAAGCGCCAAGAAAGCAGGATCTAGCTTGGGTTTCTTTTGTTGTTGTTGTCATTGTTGTTTGTTTGCTTGTTTTAACTTACTGCACTGACAGTGCCTAAAACAGAGTCTAACAACATAAGTTTCATAAATATTGTTTGAATATTTATTATCTTAAAATATAACTTAAAGTCTAAATCTTTCTTTTCAAACTTTCCTTAACTCTTTCAGTTAGCAAAACTTAATGTGGAAAACAGATATTTGGAATTAAGTAAACCTATAGTCGACCACGGACTACCTACTGTTCTGATTTTCAGTTTTCTCATTTGGTAGAGAGAACGTTCTCCATCTCGCTGAGTTATTGTACGGTTTAGAGGTTAACGACCTTTCCTGGTGGCTCAGTCGGTAAAGAACCCTCCTGCAATGCAGGAGACCTGGGCTCGATCCGCAGATCGGGAAGATCCCCTGCAGAAGGGCGTGACAACCCATTCCAGTATTCTTGCCTGGAGAATCGCCATGGACAGAGGAGCCTGGCAGGCTGCAATCTATGGGGTCACAGAGAGTTGGACACGACTGAGCGACTAAGTACACACACGGAGATTATCAACATAAAGTGCCTAGCTTATAGCCAGGCACCTATTAGTTACCCAGGGCACAGAGTTATTAACTAAGAGCAGGTATCACTCGATCATATTCTCTTCCCCTTGATCAAATGTTGGTCTATTTCTGATTTACAACATTTATCACTTGGTACTAGAGTTATGATATCTGTCTATCTTCTCTGCCGTAGTCCACCAGCTTTTTAGTATACCAAATACCAAATGCTTTAATGAGCCTAGGAAGTGTCTCTCTCAAAATTTGGCATAAGCCTTTTCTCAGTCAAGTGTGTTTTATATACTCAACTAGACTTCACTACTTCCTCTTCATGTCTTTTCCTCTTGCATCTTAAAAGTACCGAGGTTAATGTTTATCTTCACTCCTGTTGTATGAGCTCCATAAAGTCAGGGGTGTTACCTTCTATTACAAATCCTGTGTGTTTAGCTGCTCAGTCATGTCCGACTCTTTGCAACCCTATGGACTGTAGCCCGCCAGGCTCCTCTGTCCATGGGGATTCTCCAGGCAAGAATACTGGAGTGGGTTGCCATGCCCTCCTCCTCCAGGGGATCTTCCCAACCCAGGGATCAAACCCAGGTCTCCCACATTGCAGGCAGATTCTTTTACCAGCTGAGCTACCAGGGAAGCCCAAGAATACTGGAGTTGGTAGTCTATCCCTTCTCCAGGGGATCTTCCTGACCCAGGAATCGAAGTGGGCCTCCTGCATTGTAAGCAGATTCTTTACCAGGGGAGCTGTCAGGGAAGCCCTGGTTCCGTAGTAAACTACCCTGGGCATACATATTCATAATAGGAAATAGGCGATGAGTATGAAAATTATAAACAAGACATCTTCTACAGAATTTATTCTTAGAAATAGAGCAGGGGCTAGTGAAAGAAACTGAATTCAGACAGAGTTTAGAAACTCTGTCCAGCAGAGAGTTTTGATTAAGGAATCCAAGGTACCATGAGAGTTTAGAGAAGCAGGCCTTACTATATATGCATATATATACAAATATATTTATACTTGCTTTGACATTGAAAATAGTGGCCACTGAATTTTATTTGAGAGCTGGCCTATGTACTTTCAACTCATTGCTGATGCCAAGAGCCAGTGGTTATTCAGGAGCACTCACTAAGCTCTCACAGTGTGCAGAGCACAGGTAGGAAAAATGATCGTTAGACATGGAGAGACCCATCTCTTCTGAGATTGGTAATCTAATTAGATAGATGAGAAGAATGAAATGAATGTACTCAGAGTCAATTTCATATCATATTCTCAGACAAAGTTGACACTTCAGTGACATCACCATGATATCAAGGAATAACACTTGGATGTGGAAATTCAGCCAAAGCAGTGAAATCAGAATCTTTCAGTTGTCATCTGGTATCTTGTAAAATAAGAAAATTATTGCATTTTCTGTTCATTTCAACTAGTTGCTGTGGGCTTAGCCACAATGAGCAATGAGTAAGCTTTTTTACTTTATTCCTTCAATCTAACTTTATTATCCTACTTAAATTAAGTAAGTGATATCTAACTAAGCATTGTAGGGCATTTATAAAATTCAAAAATCTATTCATGTATTTGAACAAAAGCATTGATTTTTTTTTTCCTGGAAATTATGGTGCTTTTGAGCATCTTATAGCAAATCCAAATCTTAGTTTCAAATAAAGGAAATAAAGTACTTTGCCTATTAAAATTATATGAAATCTATATTTTTAAAGTATGGCCTCTGGTAGATAGGATATTCTGTGTAAGTAGGACACAATTTCATTATTTATTGATTCACATCTACTAAAAAAAAGCACATTATTTTATTTTTAAATGAATGGTATTGGTAATATGTAGCTATTTTAATGTACTGATGCCAACATAAAGCTTACATTTTTCATTAATCTTTCAGAATGGTTTGCAAACACTGAGGGAAAAGTATTTTTCAGTATTATACTACATTCACTTTTTAGTATTATGTAATTTACTTTGACACATTGCCTTTTAGGGTTATTGTTGGAGAATTCAGTGTCACGGAAATGCACATTTAGCAAAATGTAAAGCTAGTTTTAGTTTGTAACACTTTAAAAAATAATGTAACTTAGGTAGCTATAAATGCCCTACTTTAAAAAAAAAAAAAAAACAGCAACATGTATATGTAAAATCAAAATGACGGTCTCAGAGAGGAGATTTAACTTAAATGGCTACTAGTAGACCCTGAACAAAATGAAATGATCAATACTCCTATCAAAAAAACAGTGTTGTAATTGTCAAGTGAAATTATAAGGATCTCATAAAGATGTGCAAACCAAAGATAGAGTAGCAGCAGCGCGCCTGGAAGTGGCTACGCTCCCAAGCAAATCATCTCGATTAGTTCCTATTCATGATTGAAATTATGGCTTTTTTATCTGTTCATAACATGCAGCATTTTTTAGCCTCACATTTCTAAGCATTTTAGCTTTTGCTGACATAAATGCATTCCCCAAATAGAATGTTACGAGAATCTTCTGCTAGACATTTAAGCCCATTTGTGCATTTCTTTTCAAGATACTTCTTTTGAACCTTCTAACTGTGAAAGGTCTGGGAAGGTGGTGTTAGAATGAACGAGAACTTGTTTTCTAAAGCGACACTGTAGACACTTGATCTACCGTTGGAAAAAAAAAAAAGTCACAGCTTCCTACCTTGAAAACAAACATTTCACGGCGAAGAATAGCTAGAGTGTTAAAGTTCCCATCGCAGATGTTGGGTTTGGCTCCAGGATAGGAAGGTCTGCCAGTGGGAGGCCGCGGAGGTTTGGGCCGGTCGTTTTTCCTTGGGTCAGCGGGAGGAACAGAGCGGTGTGGGGGCACCGTTGGTAGAGGTCTTGTTGGTGGAGGAATCTTGTCAGGTGGACCTTTTGAAAATACGAGGACAGCACTTGGTTCAGTTAAAATTGGAAGCGTGCTGGAAAAAATGCTACAGGGGACAATCACTCATCAGTGAAGGGTTCTGACTAAGTGAGCTAAGAGGTCTTTAAGATTGTATATTTACTGAAATAACAAACCGTTTTACCCAACAAACCATTGCCAAGTCCATCAGAAACTGTCTTTATCATGCTGAATTCTAGGTCCAAGTAACTAGGTCTTCTTTGTTAATTTTTAATGATTTTTTTTTAAATAGCTTCACCACAGTCCTTATTGGATATGCTGCTTTGAAATCTTTTTTGGAAATAGGTGGTATATTAATAATAAATAAATTAAAATGAATGCTGGAACCCTGCATGTAAACACTACCAAAGTTAATCCTAGATTTTGATAGATGATTCTATGCAAATATTTCTAAACATTAACAAATCAAAGTTTATTCTATCCTATGTATCTAACTGTATTTTATAACCTTTTCTTGACTTTCATTATTTTTTTCTAAGGAAATGTTTTGACAAATTGATAGAATAGTGTTTCATTTGAATACTAAATCTAAAACACCTATTGATTAAAACACCATGAGGTAAAATATTAATGTGAAGAAGTATTTCTAAAAGGAGGTTTCTAAATCAAGCCAAAGTTTATACATGTAATTTGGTACAGATGTAAACCATCATTCCTCAAGGGGTTTATGTTTTAAAAAAGAAATACAGAGCTGTTCACACTTAATATTTAGATATGGAAAGAATACTCTTTTGCAGACCTTCAGTCTAGACTACTAATTCATGAGGTCATGAGAAAGAGCCTCCTTTCAGTTAACTACTTCAGCAGAATGTCTGATGACATACACATAGGCAGAGGCTAGCTCATTCAACATATAAGCTATTTAGTTTTGAGTCCCAGACATTTCTGTTTTCTCAGTAGCCCCCCAAAAAAGAGCAGCACAAAACCTTTTTCCCACAAAACTTATTTTAGCCCTGAGAGAATTCTCACCACTGTGAAGTTGAAAAACTAATAAATGCAAAACAAATTAGTGAATTTAAACTATGATATTTGAAAATGTAAATTATACTTTCTGAATACTGAATATTAATATACACATAGGACACATTTACCTTTGTATTGTAAAATGAAAGCTTCATTTTATTAATTTGATAAAGCATATTCTCTACATGTAAATTATAAATGTCAAGTTCTTAACAGTTAAATTTTGGGTGAAATACATGTCTTTATAAAAGTCAGTGGTCATGTTGAGGGAGTTAGGATTTAAAGATGTGTAATAGTCTCTCTCCCTTTTGTCTTAATTTGCATTCATTGACTGAACTCCATAAATTAAAATGATTCTACTCTACTAGAAATTTGTTTTGAATTATGTGTTAGTAAACTTAGCCATTTGTTATTTTTCACTCTTAGTCAATAACTACCTGCTTTTGAATTTATTCTGTTACATACATCACACAAGATTGCTTTCAGCATTTTCAAAAATGGTTTGTCTAGGATCTAATATCAAACATCAGTGAGAATCAATCTGCCAAGCTTTTATCAAAGTCCCAGTCTCTTCTAGGAAAGTCTGCTAACTCACTGTTTATTGGTTATATTAATATATTACATTTTACCTGAATTTTAAATACTAAAGTTTATCTGATCTTTACTATAATTCCAGGTTTCAGTTAAACTCAGTACAAAAAGTTTATCAATGCCTAGACTTTCCCATAACCTGCACATTAAGATATCTGCAATTGGTGCCAACCAAAGCTGACCGATAGAAGACTTTTGCCAACAGATCAGACCTGTATTCAATATTTATCTCTCTAATACAACACTTGGGAGCATCTATCTCAAAAAAGACAACACAGAAGGAATTCTGCACTTCACTACAGAGTTAACCGAACAGAACCAGCGGGGACCTACCATATATCTTCTGGATGCCCTGCAAGTCGTCACTGGGCAGCTTGAAGTTGTCGGTCTCCATGTACTGGTAAAAAGGGGCCATGATGGCCGTGGGGTCGTTGGAATGTTCCAGCCCCAGAGCGTGTCCCAGCTCGTGAACCGCCACGAGAAATAAGTCATTTCCTGTGCAGAGGAGAAGACAGTGCGTCGCTGCAAGTGATATCCAAACACAGAATTGACAAGGACAATTGGTATTACCAAAATTTTACCCAAGAAAAGTAAGAGGAACTCTTTACTTCACCTATCAGTGTGATTTTATCATTGGATTACCTTTGGGTAAAATCCAACATGTTATTTTAAAAAGGGGAGTGGGGGTTGGTGGTGAAGAGGTGATAGTGAAGTCACAAAAATTTAGAAACTTAGACAGGAATAAAGAACAAAAGTTGAAGAGAGAACAGTAGCATCAGAAACTGCTACAACTGCTGTTGAAATATCCTAGTTAGGAAACATGCAATATACTATATCTCATTTCTGTGGTCTTCATATTGGACATAATCCTAACAATAATTCATCAAAAAATACAAGGTACAATACCTACTTTTTCACAAACGAGTAGATTAAGGCATAGGGAGTGACAAATTTTGTCAGCAATAGTAAATGTTTGTATTTAAAGAGCTGTGATTAGAATTCAGGTTATGATAATTCCTAGAAGATGGTTTATCTTTCTTGCCGGCCGAGAATATAGGAATATAGGAAAATAAATAAAAAGTAAAATAAAAAGTCATAGGGTAGCAGTCATAAAAACTAGGAATCTAGTCTTAGCTCTGCAAATACAAATTCTAATCAATTAATACATGATCTGAACAAAATATATTTGTCTTAGAACTCTCAGAGACACCTAATCTGACTTTGTGTGATCAGACCCCAGCGGATGGCCTCTGCATGCTGTCCACTCTCGGATCATCATAAGTCAGCTCCTGAGCACAGAGCCAGCGCTTCATGGATATCTGTTCATTCCATAAGTTTAATTGAACCACATGAGTATCAATGCATTGGGGCTGCTATTCTTCTGAAAGTTATGCTTCTAAGTGATAAGTTTAACATTGCTGAACATAAAGTGTAGTTTTACATGGTTGACTTGTTACAAATGCTAAAGATTTCAATGAACTTCCTGAGTCTCACTTTAAGGAACATCCCTTTCCAACTACTTTTACAAGGTAATCACTGTGGTAATTACCTTCAGAGGGCTATTTTTTAAACATAAAAACTGGGTGCATAAGCAGTATTTCTTTTTTTTCCATTCTGGAGTAGTCTGTCAGAGGGAAGGGATGAAACCGTGGGGCTGACTGCACGCAGGAAGGAGTCATTCGAACACTGCCGGGGTTTACCTGAGTTTCAGGGAATAGCTGTCTATATAACAGGGGGAAACAAATTAGAGAGGTTTAAAAAGAAACAGAAGTTAAAAGAAAAATAATATAATATGTATTATCTGTAATAAAAATGTTGACTGCCTTTATTAAGTTTATAAAGTTTACTAATCTGCTCTGGGCCTTTTGACCTGTGAGAAAACCTGTATTTTCTCACTTAATTCCCACAGCTCTCCAGTCACTTAAAAACATCAGAAAACAAAGCTTGGAGACATTAAATACAATTTGCAAGTTCATGTAGTAAGACATAGGTGGACTTCTGTCCTCCCAGCATTACATTCTAATGGGGGAGACCAGAGAGAAACATAGATAAAAAAGATAGATAGAAAGATAGATAGAAAAGCAAAATAAACAGGATGTTACATAGTGAAAAATGATACAGATATAATAAGGCAGAAAAAGGACAAGTCAGAGAGGAAGTGGAGCCTAGAATATATAGGGGATCTTAGAGAACAGTAACGGTTTTGCTTTCTAGGCTGACTGCAGTGGGGATCATTGAAAGGCTTTGCGCTGAGGAGGGACATAGTCTGACTCACATTTTGGCAGGAACTTTCTGGAAATTACTAATGAGAATCAAATGCAGTGGGTGAGAGACTCAGCATGATTAAATCTCTGATGTTAGTGCAGGAATTCAGGCAAAGATACTAGTGACCTGGCCCAAAGGGGGAATAATGAAGGTATACAGAAGCAGCAAAATTCTTGGTACATTTTGAAACAAGAATCACATAGCTTCTTAAAAGACAAAATGTAAGGTGTGAGAAAAGAAAAAAGCCAAAGAGAACACCATGTCTTTTGATGCCAGCAACTTAAAAAATGAAGATACCATACCGGATGGAGAAAACACTAGGAAAACCTATCATTTGTTGCCTTTTTTTTTTTTTTTTGGTAGAAGTGAGAAGTGTATAGCCTTACCAGGAGCTTATTCTTTGAGTGTTAAAGATGGCCATGGAAAATTCTTGGAGATTCAAATAAATAAGGGAGTGATTTTTGACCTGCCACAGTATTTATCTCATGTAAGGAAGGCAGTGATTACATTATGGGATGAAGGATTGTAGCAAGATATGGTGATAAGATTAAGATCATCTCTTAAATGATGTTGCAAAAGGATATTTGGTGTCATGAGACTAGCAAAAGTGAGCTGGAGAGATACTCTGTGGCAGTCATAATAGATATCAGAAATTGAGAGTTGTAAGAGCAAGGTCAGGATATACCCATGGGAGTGAGTCTCTGAGTTAGAATGGAATACAAACTCACTGGATGGGAGATCCAATAATGTAGAGGGCTGAACACTGGAAAAATTCATCTACATGACCATTGAGATCACCAAGAATTAAAATGAATGTGGCATTCAGCAGGGGAAGGAAAGACTAGGGCAAATTGAGAAAGTAGCATTGACACATATACTCTGTCATGGGTAAAACGGACAACCAGCGAGAAGCTGCTGCATAATGCAGGGAGCCCAGCCTGGCCCTCTGTGATGACCACGAGGGCTGGAATATAATCATGACTGATTTGCCTTATTGTACAGCAGAAACCAACACAGCCTTGTAATTATCCTCCAATTAAAAATGAAGTGATATTGAGGGGAATGGGATCAAATTGAGAGATAAACTCATCAAGGACTAGGGAGAAAAATGTGAGTGCTAATAGATGACTACAGCAAGGGGAGACAGTGGACGGAATAGTCTGACAAAATCACAGTCACAGCTTGATGTTTTGATGGAGGAGAGTGGGAGTATGATCTTGCAGTGGCATTAAAAAGAAAAAAAATATAAGAGGGCATGCATCATAGCTCACATCCTGTGGTAGAAGGAATGTACGGGAGAAAACAGCTAGCATTTTGAAGGAATGGAGAGACTGCTCAGATACCAAAAGAATCTAAAGAGAATATTTTCAAAATAAGTTGATTACTATTAAAGAGGTTTTGATGACAATGGACTTGGAACATCTCTGGAGCGAACAGCTTCAGCAGAGAGAAGGAAGGAAATGAAGGCAGAAATGGCAATGTACAAATCACAAGAGGATGAGAGTCCCGGGGCTAAGGGCTGGCCCGTGCTTCCTGTCTAACAGATGAGAATGGGAGCAGAGGGCCTAAAAATAAACCTCATGATCCCAAGGTATCAAATGAAAGAGACCACTATTACTTTAAGAGTACATTTAAAGGAATTAAAGAGCATGGACAAAGCAGGGAGTGAAATTTCAGGGGGTATACAGGAGAATGTAGAATGGGAGAAAGCACAACTTCCTGCACCCACCTTTGCTTCAGTTTTTGTTATTTTTCCTCTACCTACAAGATACTTCCACATACTTCAGCAAGATAGCCATGACTTTTTATCCATATTCCTTTCTCCTCCTTTCCTCTCCTCTATTTCTTTTCTTTTTGTTACCATCTTTCTAGTTATGTAAGTATGTGCTTGCTCAGCCCTGAAGAATTGAACTGTCTTCCTTCTAGAATTGAAACACACCTTCCTTTTCCTGGTGTGTTGAGGTGAAGTGAAAGTCACTCAGTTGTGTCCAACTCTTTGTGACCCCATGGACTGTACAGTTCATGGAATTCTCCAGGCCTGAATACTGGAGTGGGTAGCCTTTCCCTTCTCGAGGGGCTCTTCCCAACCCAGGGATCAAACCCAGGTCTCCTGCATTGCAGGCGGATTCTTTACTAGCTGAGCCACAAGGGAAGCCCTCTTGGTGTGTTGGATGCATATCAAGCTGACTTGGTGTGACTGCTCAAATGTTACTTTCTCTATGAAGTCCTTCCCCGAAGGGTACTATTACCACGTGCCCTCTTTTTGCTCCCATAACCCACTGTGCATCACCTTATCATTAAAACTCAGTTGCATTTTATTGTCATCATCTTTGAGCAGGTCTTCCCAACATATTTTGAATTCTTTAAAGACTGAACTTGTGCATCATATAACTTGGCATCCTCCATTCAAAGATATTGTCTGACATTTAGCAGATGATTAAATGTTAAATGAATGAATGAATGTGTTTCCAGGAAGTGGAGGACTAATTAGAATTTGAGTAGTAAAGAACAGAATGTCATTTTCACCTAAATATAGCTCAGATTTTTTCTTCCCCCTACAAGCTTTATTGAAGTCAATTGACAAATAAAATTGCAAAATATTTAAATTGTACACTGTGGTGGTTTGATATATGTTTACATTGTGAAGGATTCTCCTCAATGGAGTTAATAAACACATCCATTACCTTTTTTTCTTTTTGGTGAGAACTCTTGCATCAAATTGCAGTGATAAAAATTCAGTGTCATCAACTACAGTCACCATGCTATACATTATTTCCTTAGAAATTATTCATCTTATAACTGAAAGTTTGTACCCCTTTAACAATCTTTTTCTATCTTCCCAACCCCCCAATTTTTTTTTTCAGACTATCATGGGTAGAAAGAGAATGAAATGAGATGAGAGGAAACTGAGGAGACCATTATTCTTACATGGCATCAGACAGTGGAACTAAAATACACCAATACTCAATAAATGTCATTAAGTTGCTCAAAAAGTGCCAGAAGATAGTTGTGTTTGAAGTAATGAAAAAGGCTATGGTCTATAGGAAATTGTCAGAGAGTGCAGAACAAGCTTGCTTTTCTAAAATATTTTAGAGGAGGAATTATAATGATTGGAGGGACTAAGGACTGAGAGTGGGATGTTCACAATGTTTGGATAGTGGAAAATCAAAAGGCACGGGAGGTCAGATTTACTGAAAAACAGGACTTTTAAAGATTACATTTTGTTTTAA